GGTACACGAAGCACGTGATGTAGACTTATCAGTTGTCGGACTTCCATTTTGTGGAAGCCTCGGTGGCTGAGTTGGTCAGGTCGCTGACATTGTGTGCTGGGGTATTCGGTGCCTCACTTTGAGCTTGGGTTCGAATCCCGCTTCCACCCAATCAAGAGTATACACTGAACTAAGAAAGTCTAATACCAAATATCATGAGTGAGTGAGTTGGGTTTAACGCCGCTTTTAACAGTATTACAGTTATATCGCGGCGTGTCGGCTTAATGTGGGAGGAAAGCCCGAAGTGATGCAGGTCTCGGACGTTTACCACTTCGGTGAAACCCACGAGCACGGGTATGGTGCTGACAAACCTAGAAACATAATCGGGGCGAATCATAGGTTTCTGGTGTGCCCAAGGGACGCAACTCTGCACAGCGAATCGCGGCGCCTTAGCCGACTGGGCCGCCCGTGCCCCTATACCAAATATAACATCTATAACCATAGGTTAGTCTTCTGTATGTCAATGCTCAAATCACTGTGAACTAATCACATCCTTTCATATTTCACATGATAACTAATAAAGAGAAGGTACTTAATACACATATTCTGTTTCACTCTTATCTTCCAGTATGCTTGCTCTCGAACGAATCCTTTTATCTAATGATGTTGAACTGTGGAAATACATCTATCGATTCAAAAGCAGATCAATTACACCATAACGACTTAATAAAGATAACGCTAAAACCTTTCAGATCTGATCTCTTAATAACATATGCTGAATCTCGATCAGTCTCGTCAAGAGTCATATTACCGACACAAGATGTCAACCCTGAAATGAATCTTTGATGTCAGTGAAGTCACATGCAGCCACCGCATAAAACGTTCTGACAGATAAAAGTTAATCAACGACCGCGCTACTCTGCATTCATACTGCACGAATTCATATTCATATTCGGGGCAATTTGGCTAACACCAGAGGCCCTGACTGAGAACACCCATTGTCCTGTATTGGTTAGAGTGTGTGTTGAATTGGCTAAGTAACGATTAAGAGTTTCTGGTGAGAAAAAGAAATCGATTTATCTGACCGAGACGCGCGACGGGCCCCTGTCCATGGATACGAAATATTCGTCACACCTTCGTATGTCTGATAATCTAGCTTCTCGGTATCCGAGTATTACTTAAAGGTGAATGTTGTTCCTTATTAAATATTTGAAGATTTATGACGAATCTGTATGCATTAACAATCATACTGGTAATCAAATTTCAAAATGAGAAAATAACTGCGCAAGAGATAATGATTAAATCCCAGTATGAATGCCATTATCATGAAATATTAATAATTATGCCATTTACCAAATGCGAATTTTTAAGCGTTATATTCATGATTATTCGTCCTGGAGTATCGACTTCTCAGCTCCTAAAACATAAGTTGCACCTTCATATGACGTTATCAGAAACACGACAGGTATCAATTCTTTCAGTTTATGAATTGAATCCATCACAGTATTTAATCTCTGTCATCGTATGTTCAGGATTACGAGTACGCGTCCTGACCTGGACAAATGACGTAACTTTATGCATAGTTTGCATGGTCAGGTCCTATCAAAGGAGCCCCCGTCCATTTCCATCTATAGAAATGTAAAAAAGCTAACCATTTGAGAAGACACGCCGATTTAACCCGGAATCACCGAGTCCCGGCACATCACGAACAAATTGCATTATGTTTGAATTGGTCCGGAGAGGGGTTGAGGCAAGTGCGCTTGCTGTGGCATGTATTATTAATTACATTTAATCGGTTTTACTACAGTCGTTATTGATCTTTAGATAACCGTCAACCAAAAACTGATAAATGTTCCTTGCACAAACTTGCAAAAAAAATAGAATTCACTTTTTGGGATTGCCTCTCTTGCTTCGACGAGCTCCCAGGAATAATTGCATTAAATAACCAGACTTTCCTGTGACTAATTATTTAAGTGGATGGGGGGTCGATGGGGGGACAAATACCCCTCAAATCACGTCCCATCATCATAAATTAGAACTTGCAGTAGTCATGTAGACCGAAGCTACATTTGGGTGCCCGTGTTCAAGTCTACTCACACGAGTGAACGGATATCTTGCGAAACGGTTCTAATAATGAATGGATTGTTCAATCACCCGGAAAGAAAGCTTGTTTAATCTCGGACTGCATATTTCGACAACTTAGCTCAATGTGGGTGGCACAAAGCTACCCAAGATGTACACGTTCACAACTTTAAAGAAATCCCACCAGCATAGTATGGTGCTGACAAACCAAGGATTTCATTCGAAGCAGTCGTGGATTCGAAACCTCGGTCCGGATAAGGGACACGACTCTGCACAGCGGAGCGTTAGCCCATCTGCCTCTCACCGTGATACCAACGACTGGTACTATAGTAGGTTGAATTGGGGGCCTACAGTAATAAAAGCATATTAACTGCAGAACATGGCCGTACTTCATACTGTTCGTACTGGGTTTCATTAAGTAATGGAGGTGATAATGTTATTAGCATGAAGCTGTTTCTACAACATATGTTTATCAACTGCTTAAAGTTAATCTTCCGCCTATGCCCCGTAAACTATAGTTAATGAAACCTTTGTTTTTATCCCAAATAGTGAATATTTTACATGTAGTCTAAGAAAAATTTAATTGTACAGTAAATATTAAACTGACGTCAATATATCTTCTCCACCTGCCTGTTTTAATTATTTGAACTTGTTTTCAGACCTACCGTCATGGGTGTTGGACACCATGCCACGTTCTTTAAAAATAAATCTTTATCATCATTTAACACGTTTTTTACATTCAACTCCCTCACGTTGTACATTGCGGACTGTTTTGCTTCAGATTGACAAACCTAATTTTCGTTGTTTTCACACGCAAGGCAGCCCTGACAGACGTTACTTTAGCTTCAAAGCACTCGCAGCGATAAGTTTGACACGCCTTGCTGGCATCCCTGTTGCTTCATGACAAGACATGTTCAAGTGGCGGCATCCCGTTAACGACACTGTCAAGATTAAGGTTTGTCTGTCCCTGGGGGATTCATGGCTGAATAGGTCCCACATAACCATGCTTGCCGCATATGCCATCCGCGATTATCCAGTCGTATTATATCTCTATTCTACTTGGTTATCTACATCGGGTATTAAATATATTTATCGTAAATTGCCGGGCAAAAGAAAGTATACACCAATGTTTGATGGTGGCTAAAATGAAACAAACATGAAATGGTTATTTGGTGATGAATTTGATACGAGTACCATAGTAGTGTTTTATTACCTACTTGTCGGGGTGGTATATCTAGAATATTGCTGACTGCAGCGTAAATCAACTCACTCACACACTCAGTGACTGTTGCCTTGTACTATCACGTCTATACGAAATATACACTCAGTGATAGCTTGGCACAGCCGATTCCACCTTCACCCTGACCGCGCACCTGGCTCTATCGTCAAACTTGTACAGCAGACAGTCATTGTGATTAAGTGGCTTGTCAGTATCATTTCAGACTTTCTATTTCTTGAAAAGTGAAACCTCGTTAATCCGTTATCCTCATTTTCAGTTTTAGTCAATTTGACCACATGAACAAATTTCCGGATTAGCGAAGTATATTTATGGATTAATGTACCTTTGATTAGACGTCGCAAACAGTTATCGCAGGGATTCCGGATAAGCGGGGTTTAACTGTGTACAGGAAATACATTGTGCTATATCTAACTTTCATGTAAACAGTGCTGTCGTTATAAAACATTACCATATACCCCAAGCGTGAAATTCATAGACGTGAATTCCTAGCCACCATAGTCCCGTAGAACATACGTACACTATTCTTATGTAGATATTGACAATGTACTCAATATACCTACATGCACAAACGTGAAAAACGGATCTTGCCGATTTTTTTTGGTTTGTTATGTGTCTCAACATTTAGTTTGTTTACCAAACTCTAACACAATGAGTAATTCAATGAACTTTTAATGAAGTTTTTGGATGACTGGACGCGTAACCTGGATGCAATATATATATACAAGTGCATCAATATCAATAAGTGAGTCATCTGGTTTTACTTCCTCTCATAATACAACCCACATTTACTGAAACGGGCTATAGACTACACGTGAGGAGATATCTCTCTGCATGAATGAACACCGAACAAATTCGGCACTTCATTATACGCTAAAACAATCTTTGTCACAACAGGCGATAATTTGTTGAAGGTCGCTCTGACTCGCTGCCAGAGAGATCGATATTGAAGCAGTGATAAGGAAAGCCGCACCACGAGATACGGGAATCAATATCGGCAATCACCAAGCGTCCCAGGTATATGAGTAAGCCATGACGTCACTGCACAACATCAAAGAACGACGTCATCCCATGTGTATCGCATAGGGATCCCCTACCCCCAGTACCAGAGGGATGAACAGGCTTGCCGAAAATTGCCCCAATTCTACGATCCACTCAATCTAAATTATGTAATTACCAGAGGCCTCGGCGTTTACGATCGTTCACAACGCCGGCCGGTTGCGACATGCCATGTGGTGCCGGTGAGTGAAATGTACAACGAGATTCTGAAATGGACAAACGGCCGAGGGCGCGTGTTATCTGTTCAAGGCCGATGCGAGACTTTAAACCACACCATGTGTGTAAATATAATGGGCGATTGGCAGATGAACGCCTTTGTCAAGACTACAATGGGTTAGTACTATACTAGCGTTGGGAGTAGGGAATTGAAATGGGCAATATAAACTACTGAGAGTCGTGTGACGGTCGATTTACAAGCTAGTGTAGTGTTAGGATTTAATACACGAGCAACAAAAACACTTCCGATAAACGCGTTGGTTTGAAATGAAAAGCGATGTAAACACGAAGCGTGAAATTCGCTGAACCCATGGGCCCAGTGGATGGGAAAAACGGCGATCTGTCAAACCGTCGAAGCCCATTGGCTTTATGTGAGATCGTGTTCTGTTGATAACACAGCACATAAAAAAGATTAGGAATTACTTACCAAGCGTCTGCAGGGACATCATCACGAACATCCATATACCGGCCAGTGAAGCGTTCATTTTCATTTCATTGGCCTCGCAGTTTTGACCCCTTCTCTCGCTCTCTCGTTCTTCTCTCTCTCTCACTCTGTCGCTCGTTATCGAAGCGAGCGCTAACTCCAGCTGTCTCTGACTCGCGGTATAGCGACACACAGACTCTCCCGCCTACAACACAATAGTGACTGAATCACTCGCTGATGAATTATGTACACACGGACATATAGCTTGCCGTACGCAATACCAGGTATACTCGCTATTTCGGCGTCTCCGAGTGACAGTAACCCTAAGACAATGCAGAGGGAACGGCAACTCGATAACCCGGACGGGTCAACTCGCCGGATGTACGAGTTTCCGGCTCTTAGAGTACCCTCGCCATAACACTGGGATAATTATAGACTAATTTTGTGCCCAGATAAGAGCCCAGGTTGATATCCAGTCAGAATGGTATTCCAGACATCACAGAAATATGGTTGTAAGTCATGAGTATCAACACTCAACACAGCGACAGACCGCTGCCGTACGGCTAGAGAAACACACTGTCAGTGAGAGCTCCGAGCGATGTGAGTCCGCCGCTCGCCACGCGTGGTCGGGGATGACTTGTGTTAGATGCTGCTGACTGTTGTATGCTGAAACAAACGATCTCCGATCAAACACAACCTTAAACTTGTGTCAAGAATATATTTATCTGTTACATAACTTCCCGGTAATTATTGTTCGCTGTGAATATTTCTTCTCTTATGTAATTATGAGTGATATTTCCTCGTTGTTGTGAGGATTTACCCGCTTTTTCTCAGTGGGAATTACTTAAAACCCACACGGACGTAGAAACACACGATATAGGAGTAAAACAGATGCCCTCTTCTGTAAGCTTTTTGAACTCTTGCGAAGTTCAGGACACGCTATAACTGTTCACTGGTATGTCCTATTACCAGAGGGGCGGTCGGGTAGCCTAGTGGTTAAAGCGTTCGCTTGTCACGCCGAAGACCCGGGTTCGATTCCCGATATGGGTACTATGTGTGAAGCCCATTTCTGGTGTCCCCCGCCGTGATATTGCTGGAATATTGCTAAAAGCTACTCACTCCTATTACCAGAACAGGCGGGCAGTGTACCCGAGTTGCGTGTGTATATTTTCAGGGTTGAGGCAGGGTTGAGGCAGGGTTGAGGCAGGGTTGAGGCAGGGGTGGGGGGTTTGTGGGGGGTTGGTTCGATGTCCCCTCGCTGCCTCGAAAGCCCCACTTTTTTTTATAAATCACAAGTGTAGTCATAAACATATATATCATTACCTACATCATCAACAAAAGAAATACCTTTGTCTCAATGAAGTACATGGATATATTAATGGGTAAATGTGTATGTATATATGTGTGCCCAACATGAATGTGTTGTTGTATGTACCTATGTGTGCCCAACATGGATATGTTGGCATATGTACCTATGTGTGCCCAACATGGATATGTTGGCATATGTACCTATGTGTGCCCAACATGGATATGTTGGTGTATGTACCTATGTGTGCCCAACATGGATATGTTGGTGTATGTACACGTGTGTGCCCAACATGGATATGTTGGCATATGTACCTATGTGTGCCCAACATGGATATGTTGGTGTATGTACCTATGTGTGCCCAACATGGATATGTTGGTGTATGTACACGTGTGTGCCCAACATGGATATGTTGGCATATGTACCTATGTGTGCCCAACATGGATATGTTGGCATATGTACCTATGTGTGCCCAACATGGATATGTTGGTGTATGTACCTATGTGTGCCCACAATGGATATGTTGGCATATGTACCTATGTGTGCCCACAATGGATATGTTGGTGTATGTACCTATGTGTGCCCAACATGGATATGTTGGCATATGTACCTATGTGTGCCCAACATGGATATGTTGGTGTATGTACCTATGTGTGCCCACAATGGATATGATGGCATATGTACCTATGTGTGCCCACAATGGATATGTTGGTGTATGTACCTATGTGTGTCCAACATGGATATGTTGGCATATGTACCTGTGTGTGCCCAACATGGATATGTTGGTGTATGTACCTATGTGTGCCCAACATGGATATGTTGGTGTATGTACACGTGTGTGTCCAACATGGATATGTTGGCATATGTACCTATGTGTGCCCAACATGGATATGTTGTTGTATGTACACGTGTGTGCCCAACATGGATAAGTTGGTGTATGTACCTATGTGTGCGCACAATGGATATGTTGGTGTATGTACACGTGTGTGCCCAACATGGATGTGTTGTTGTATGTACCTATGTGTGCCCAACATGGATATGTTGTTGTATGTACCTATGTGTGCCCAACATGGATATGTTGTTGTATGTACCTATGTGTGCCCAACATGGATATGTTGGCATATGTACCTATGTGTGCCCAACATGGATATGTTGTTGTATGTACCTATGTGTGCCCAACATGGATATGTTGTTGTATGTACCTATGTGTGCCCAACATGGATAAGTTGGTGTATGTACCTATGTGTGCGCACAATGGATATGTTGGTGTATGTACACGTGTGTGCCCAACATGGATGTGTTGGTGTATGTACCTATGTGTGCCCAACATGGATATGTTGTTGTATGTACCTATGTGTGCCCAACATGGATATGTTGTTGTATGTACCTATGTGTGCCCAACATGGATAAGTTGGTGTATGTACCTATGTGTGGCCACAATGGATATGTTGGTGTATGTACATGTGTGTGCCCAACATGGATATGTTGGCATATGTACCTATGTGTGCCCACAATGGATATGTTGGTGTATGTACACGTGTGTGCCCAACATGAATATGTTGGTGTATGTACACGTGTGTGCCCAACATGGATATATTGGTGTATGTACACGTGTGTGCCCAACATGGATATGTTGGTGTATGTACACGTGTGTGTCCAACATGGATATGTTGGTGTATGTACACGTGTGTGCCAATCATGGATATGTTAATGTGGAAATCTAACCTATGTACATCAATTTAATAACAAAAGTATAGAGTAACATTAACATCTACTGATGTAAAATATAAGTAAAACATGCCTTCCAACATACAAATAGACACAAGATTGACCTCACCGAATTTCGTGTAATCGTGGTATGCACATTTATGTTGTTCTAGCGACTGCAAGTTCATTACATATCACTACTAACATCTCAATGTTGTATCAATACAAATCTAACTGAAATAGAAATATCTCTTCTTATCATTGAAACGCCCTTACTGTCTCCGGTCCCTGGGTCGCCACGGGTAAACACATTGCTGGTGTTAAGGGAGCCAATAAAAGCCAAGCAAGTATCATTCATTAGATCTATAGATGGTGGCGCTGATATAGCATCGGCACATTTATTTTGTGAGTGAGTGAGTTGTGTTTTCCGCCTCGTTCAGTAATATCACGGCGGGGGACACCGGAAATGGGCTTCACGCATGGTACCCATGTGGGGAATCAAACCTGGGCGGCGCGACGCCTATTGTAGGATAGTCAAAATGTATATGTTAGATTTACAGGAAAGGCAGATTAAGAATGATTATTTGTGAAGATAACTTTCACTGTGTCACGAGTACCCTACACAACACGCTGTAGAGGAAACGTCTCCGTTATCGCCTTTCTGCTTCCTGCATCAGCGCCTGTCAATCATCCGTCATGATATATATCATATTTAATACAAACCCTTAAACTCAAGGCTCGCAGTGTAAACTCGATAATTAACTCAATCTATATAGCTTGTCGCATTCCAATAGTCAAAATTTAATGAATCATGGCAAATGTCAGAAGCATGAATTTTTCACCCAATCTATTGAAGTGTTTCCAAACGAGATATGACTCGTCTGCTGCGGCAATAAGTACTCAGCGACCTTGACAGGTGTCTGATCTGCGCATGCGCATAGAGTGACAGGTGTTAAGCTGAGTTCTCTGAAATAAAACTCTTTGCTTTCTCCAGTATGATTTCTTTTAAAACTTTCTCAGCGAACTTCACAACCTTTGTAATTCCCAATCATAAATCCCAAATTTGACGAAACGTATACCGTAAGTTACATATAAAATCATTTTCATAACAATGTTGACAAGCTAATGCTGAGCAACAATTGAGGTTCATACAAGCCATAAACTTGATAATAAACACAGTTTCAGTCGGAAAGTCATGTACAATGTAATTTGTCAAACAAATACATTTATTTCACACAAGCGCCTCTTGGCCCGCTTGAGCTGCGGTTGGATAGCCACGTGGTTAAAGCGTTTGATCGTCACGCCGAAGACCCGGGTTCGATTCCCAACATGGGTACAATGTGTGAAGCCCATTTCTGATGTCCTCCGGTGTGATATTGTTGGAATATTGCTAAAAGCGGCGTAAAACCAAACTCACTCTTGGTACCCTTGAATATTTTGTTTATATATCATCCCACTACGAAAAATATTTTAGGAATTTACCGTTTGATAAAAAACATTTCCAAGGTGCATTTTTTCGCTAGGATAATTTGAGGAAGGGAAGTAATTCTGTTTATTGCTTTGTTTCCGTGTTCTAAACTTTCCACTTTTTTCTTTTTAAATGATCTCAACTCAGTTGATCTCTTAATTGCCGATTGTGTGAAGTGGGCCCGATTCAGTTAAAGCGGCTGAAGCCAACACTCACTCACCTGTTGGGTTAGTAGGATAGACTAGTTAAGAAGTGAACCTGCGTTTATTCATCACGTGTACAAAGTGTATATTGGTTTCCGCCATCGTGATATGGATGGAATAATGTTACTCACTCACTCACTCACTCACATTCTACTTAATAATAGACATAAAAAGAACTCTTCACTTAAATTCGAGGTATATTTTCGTTTATTTCGCTGAAAGTTAATTTCACACTGGTCATTGTATGTCAAGTTAACACATTTGAAATATTACCAGTGGAAAATTTAAGTAAATCACAAAAAAAATCGAAACGCGCGAAAGGAAACGTTAATTGGGATATGAGAATTGTTTGAAGAGGGTGCCACCTTACAGGATGTCCCAGGGGGGCCTATATATATCTGCCGTCTTACACGGTAATATAGAACAAACTTCCTCTCTCGATGTGAAGACACACCGTTTATAATACGTCTACATCACTGTATAATCTGAGTAAGTAAGCATGGGAAAGCTCGGCTTGTCGATTTGTGCTCTTACATGTCGGAAACTCGTAATTTGACGAAAAACAGGAAATCTAATTCGAAGTTGGTCGATAAAAAGTGCTATTGCTGATGGCTAACCCCAGCCATCTCACAAAAATGTATAAAATTGAAATATTTGAATAAATAAGACGGATATCAATACACCTTGGGAAATTATCCAGGCATTTTTAAGGTCAGTCTACGATATATGAAATCTCGTATAGGGGCGGGGGGTAGCGTACGTAGTGGTTAAATGTTCGCTGGGCACGCCGACGTCTGGGTTCGATACCAAACGTTTTCAAACGTTTTCTTGTTGATTTCCTGGACATTTCGCCGCGTCTGAATACTTTTCAGGATATATAGTATACAATATCCAAATTTCACTGAAATTTCACTTTGTTATTGAAGCAGATGACGTCGTTCCTTTGCACCATGGTATCATATCATTGACGTCACGTCTGTCT